CAATATATGACTTTACAAGCCTTTTCCTTGAAATAACTTAGTAGTATTATTAGTTTTGTTACTTTCTTATTTTATAATATTTTTTTCTTTTTGATAGTATTTTTAAATCTTAATATTATCTATAGACAAAAAAGATGATTGTTTATGGTATCACTGATAATTATTCTTTATGTCACTGCATAATAATTGTTACAGGTCAAAGTTAAGTTACGATTAAAATTTTTTAACCTGTAACGTATTCATACCTACATGTACTGCACTGCTTGAAAGGTCACATAAAATGCTGCACTTTGTTTTGTTTTTAAGTTGCTAATTTTTGGAAGGTGTGAATGTTTCAAATTTTTGGCATGATTTCCACCACAAAAGGAGACAAATATAAGTTGCATGAAATGTACATGGATGTAACAATGCTATATCATATATGTTTTAGAAACAATTAATTTGCACTGTGCCTTATTTGACCCAATCTCAGCACTTGTTTGCGTGTTTCTTTAATAATTCAAAGTTGCACAATTCATGTTGTTTTAGGTTGAACATAAAAAGATGTTCACACCAGAGCCGTTTCTTGGCAGGTCAGACAAATTGGCTTGATATTTTTTTGTTGTGTTTTGTGTTTAATTTGCACTCATTTTGCCATCAAAGATGAAGCACCATTTCATGTTGTCTACACGTCATACAGCTTTATACTCTGAAATGTTTTTTTTTTTATAATCACATCTGTTATCTATGTCACTGGAGACAGATTAGAATGATGTTAATGAAAGGGTTTAAGAGATTGTGCCCAGGGATGGGATTGTGATGGGGATGCTCATCGGAAAATGAAAATCAAACCCCTAAGGGAAACCAATGTGGTGTGGCTCAAGCTTAACCTGACCCCTAAAGGAAACCATACCAAACCAGATGCACAGCTGAGAAGTGTCAACAGCGGAAATAGATTTGTTTCATGCCAGGGATATCATGTTCTTTTTTAAATGTAAGATTTCTGTTTGGTCAGTGTCACAGCATTATTTGGACATTGATTTCTTCTTATGCACAGCCCTAAGGAAAACCTGAATGGGCAAATATAGTGACTTTCTATCCCAAACACCCTAAGTGGGACCAAAATCTGCAATTTACACGCGAAATGTGACGACGAGCATCCCTGTCACTTCTTTATGGGAGTCCCCCAGGAGGATTGTGGATGTAGGGGAATTAGGAACTTGAAAGAATGGAAGGGGAATAGAAGTGGAAGGATAGAAGTTGGAACAGATATTATTCCAGGTACCTTAGTTTAGTATAGCACAAGTGTGACTCATCAATCCATGGTTGCCACAGGATGGGGAATGGTCAGTGAGAAAAAAATAATTTTCTGCAAGGTCAGGAAAAAGATGGAAATTTTTGGTCAGGAAAAATTGAAATGATAAAGCTACGGATGTTTTGCCATTGATAGTCTGCAATGCATCTTTTATTCTTCTTCAGGGGAAGGGAATGTGTCCTTGCATAGCTGCAATAAGCAAGCGTGTTCCTTTCTTGTACCTTCATCCACACTTATAACCATTTTATTGTCTTGCACATTGTGCTCAAGGGACTACTAAAAAAGCTTGAGTTCTATAACATGGAAGGCTGAAAGAACCATTTCAGGAAACTGTGATCTAAAAAATCTTTTCATTCATGAAAAATGTAGATTAGGTAGAAAGTACAAGTGTAGAGGGTGGTTACTGTTCAGGGAAATTTTGTTTTCAATGTGGAATGAAATTATGCATGAATTTGAAAAATTATTTCTGTTGCAACTGTGATGGTCTGCAACAGGAAACATTAAGTGTTCTGAGGATGGAACTAGCTCAAAATACTCTTTCCTGTGTTTCATCTTGTACTTGTATTCAAATTTAAAGTCTGCTGCTTTGCCAGTAGCCTGCAAACCTAGACATATTTTCAATTGCTAGTTCTGTCCACCGGAAATACATCTGGGTGTGCAGACCATTTTGTCAGCTATTGGACTGAAACAGGTTGTTGGTGGGGTAGCAAATGCATACAGAGCAGATAGGATGGAGCCTGTAGGCTACAGAAAATGCAGACATCAACCCAAGAAGGAGAAACGTAACTCTGGGCACTTACTAACAGTCAGAAGTGGCAGGCAGACTGGTTAATTGAAAAAACGAAATTAGCTTTTTTGAAGAGTTTTGCTGTGTATATTATTTAGGAATAGACTGATCTGACTAGTCAGTCCTGATTAATAGTGAAATTCTCTTTGTAACTGGTTTGGTTTGGCCAGCTAGTTCTGACTCATAGTAAGCACTGTAATAGTCTTCTTTCTTCTTCTTCTTCTTTCCTGTTTGGTTTACACCACACTTAAGAATGAGGGACTGCTTGCAATCTTGGATGCATGAAACTAAATTTGCCCCAACTCCTTCAATCTCCCCACAAAAATAAAATATTCTTAACCAGTTTTTGTATTTCCTCTTAGGTTTACCAAATACTTCCTCTGGAGTTCTGGGGCCTGCTTTGTTTATCTTGGGCAGTGTGGCAATCGCCTTGTTAGCAACAAAAATTAGTTAACATACAAGAAATTAGAGGAAATTATAATATATATACTATTATAAGACAAAGTGATCTTAGGTCAAATTATTGTGGAAATTACAAATAAGATTTTGATCAGTCAAATCATAATAATTTTCTTTATGAGGTATCCTTTAGTAATAATCAGGGTTCATACAGAGGCTTGAATTCTTGAAAAAGTCTTGAAATTTGCCCAGCAATTTTCCAGACCTGGAAAAAGTTTAGAAAATGAAGATAAAGTCTGGGAAAATGATAACAAGTCTTGTGGTTTTTTTTTCAAAGCTTTTCATTTTGGTCAAATCTTATTCAATCTGGCCCCTACGCGTGTAGTGCATCATGAAAAACGCTTTGTTTCTGCATTTTTAAAGGTCTCTGTTGACCACCTTGTCTGGAAAAAGAAATTACTGTTTTGGAAAAAGTCTTGAATTTTGGATTCAAAAATCTGTACGAACCCTGAGGAATAGTTCAATTTACTATTAATAATATAAATTTACTTTTCATTCATGATTTGATCTGAATATGAGGTAATAATGAGTCAATGTTTTTGTCCTTTTTTGATAAATTATTATTATATATTTTTTTATATCAGTCCTTTATTTAATATACAGGTCTTATGTAAACACCAATGAAATATCAGTTGAGATTTTTTGCAAAATCATGATATCTTCACAAGTGAAAAAATCACCATTGCTAAGGTTTCAGAGTAAATTGCACCCTTTGTGGCAAAAAATATATAAAAGGAAAATGGTTTGGTATTTCATTGGTGTTCGTATAATAAACAGGACATTACACGGTCACTTGGATATAAGAAAAATTGTGTTGAAAAATATGTGAGCTTTTCGTACAAATTTTTCAACACTCAAGGAGGAATTTCTTATATCTGCATGGCCAAAAAGTGTCCTCTTTATAGTAAGTCCTTTTTTTCAATTAAAGAGCATCTTTAAGTTGGGGGGTATTGGTAAACAGTCTTCTCTTGTGTGTAGATCATTGCATATAACGTGAATATTGAAAGTGGCGATTTTGAAATAAAGGTATTTTTTGCATTTGAGACATTGAACTGTACCATGTTTATTGATTCCTATCAATAATTCAGTAGCCTGCGTTGCAGACGTAATTCAATCTCGATCAGTAAAGTCTGCAAAGCAGTACCGATATCCTTGTTCTGGGGCCCCAACGGACTCAACGAATTACCGGAAGAGCGTTTCGAATTTTCTTTCATCTTGATTGGTGAATCGACCATGGCATTTTTAACAGGCCAATCATGGCGTGTACTCAAATCCTGGTACACAGGACGGGGCCTAGAACGAGGATTTCGGCGTTGTTGCGCAGACGGACTTCACCAGAGTTGAGTTTCGTCTGCGGCGCGGGCTATAATCCAGTAGATCACTGGACAGACTGTTTTAGCCTGCATGTTAGGGGTAAAAAGGGGTAGGATTGAGACTCTTACCCAGTCGCTATTTATGTGTTTTTGGGGTTGAGAGAAGATTGGGGGTTAGATTAAGGCACGCGCGGGGTCTCATGGAAAGGGACGAAGGAAAAATAGCGTCGCTAACCAAACCCNCAAAAATCTGTACGAACCCTGAGGAATAGTTCAATTTACTATTAATAATATAAATTTACTTTTCATTCATGATTTGATCTGAATATGAGGTAATAATGAGTCAATGTTTTTGTCCTTTTTTGATAAATTATTATTATATATTTTTTTATATCAGTCCTTTATTTAATATACAGGTCTTATGTAAACACCAATGAAATATCAGTTGAGATTTTTTGCAAAATCATGATATCTTCACAAGTGAAAAAATCACCATTGCTAAGGTTTCAGAGTAAATTGCACCCTTTGTGGCAAAAAATATATAAAAGGAAAATGGTTTGGTATTTCATTGGTGTTCGTATAATAAACAGGACATTACACGGTCACTTGGATATAAGAAAAATTGTGTTGAAAAATATGTGAGCTTTTCGTACAAATTTTTCAACACTCAAGGAGGAATTTCTTATATCTGCATGGCCAAAAAGTGTCCTCTTTATAGTAAGTCCTTTTTTTCAATTAAAGAGCATCTTTAAGTTGGGGGGTATTGGTAAACAGTCTTCTCTTGTGTGTAGATCATTGCATATAACGTGAATATTGAAAGTGGCGATTTTGAAATAAAGGTATTTTTTGCATTTGAGACATTGAACTGTACCATGTTTATTGATTCCTATCAATAATTCAGTAGCCTGCGTTGCAGACGTAATTCAATCTCGATCAGTAAAGTCTGCAAAGCAGTACCGATATCCTTGTTCTGGGGCCCCAACGGACTCAACGAATTACCGGAAGAGCGTTTCGAATTTTCTTTCATCTTGATTGGTGAATCGACCATGGCATTTTTAACAGGCCAATCATGGCGTGTACTCAAATCCTGGTACACAGGACGGGGCCTAGAACGAGGATTTCGGCGTTGTTGCGCAGACGGACTTCACCAGAGTTGAGTTTCGTCTGCGGCGCGGGCTATAATCCAGTAGATCACTGGACAGACTGTTTTAGCCTGCATGTTAGGGGTAAAAAGGGGTAGGATTGAGACTCTTACCCAGTCGCTATTTATGTGTTTTTGGGGTTGAGAGAAGATTGGGGGTTAGATTAAGGCACGCGCGGGGTCTCATGGAAAGGGACGAAGGAAAAATAGCGTCGCTAACCAAACCCCCAATCTTCTCTCACCCCCAAAAACACATAAATAGCGACCGGGTACGAGTCTGGGTAGGATGCCTCTTGGACTTTGCAAAAGCAAAAATTCCTCTCCCTTTCTTAGTTTTTGCAACCTAGGATGAAATTTCATGTCGTCAAACTTCATAAGTAACTAGTTTTATTTCGAACTATATCTCCTCTTTAATCAGTGCAACTGCCAATAATAAATTAATTGGGCTTACAGGTCATTTTTATTTCCTATCTACGCTATTAACTTGTCCATTTCTTCTCCATTTTTAAATCTTGAGTGTAGTTCTCTCTTTTAAAGTATGTTATTTGCCAAAACTCAACTTTGCCCCTCCCCCAAAGCAAACTGTGGTGAAACGAGTGACGTTTGGGGCTTAATATTATATTAAATTTTAACTTTAGTAAGTCACTTTAGTAATAAAGACAGGTCTCCCACTAACTTTGGAAGTAAGGGATACCCTGCATTGTGGTTGAGTAACCACCTTATATCACAGAAAAGTAGGCTAAGAACTATCCTTGGATAAACTCTTCGTCTGTCCAAAAGAGCTGCGCTTTTTCTAAGCATTTGAGTGTGAATATTATCTCCCAAAACGAATTGATGTTTTATTAGGAGATATCGGCCGAGTGACTTTATGTAAGTGTTACAGCATCACAGCACTCTGTCGAGTTCATGTGCTACTTCCGATTTAAACTTAACTATGAAAGGAAACTAAAGCTGGAAACGTTAGCGTGATGGCAGCATTCCCATGCCCTTGTTTCTCTTAACGGCTGCTCCTGCCTTTCGATTGTGATTTGCTCTCGTTCCTTTGTTTCTTTCATTATGCGCTCTTTGTTTCGACTCTGAAGCGCTTACACCCCTGCCACGCCCTCTGTTCCCCCCTTTCTGCCCCTCTTTGTTAGCTTCGTCTTTTTTCGGACCCTGTCTTTCGTGTCCTCTACCACGTTGCCTGCGGTTTACCAAGGATTTATCTATTTGGCTGTCTTGTGATTTCGCTATGCTTTCTTTCTGGGTTGGGTCATCTTCATTTTCTCCATCTTCCTCCTCCTCGTCATCGGAGGGTTCGGGTGAGCCGCCCAAAACACGAGGAGTAGTAAAGGGTCTGTGAAGGTTAACAAAGGTAATTACTGACGATGAAACCCAACCTCTGGTATATATATATAAAAAACATGTTTGAACAACACTCTCAATGTTTCTCGACTCGAATAATCTGTTCACAGTCTATTATTTTCCCCTAAGGTCGTCGGGATCGATGGCTTACCGTTACGGATGGTCATCTTGGTTTCAAATGTACTGAGGGACTATGATCTTACGGAATCTTGGTCTCTTTTTACAATCATAGCGAAGACACTGGTGTGGAGATGTTTACAGTCATCCCAGTGATGGTAAAACGTCTGGTAGAAGACCCTGCTAACGATGTACGTATTCCCGTAATAACAAACTCATGCATTTTCCAATTTGTCCCGTGAAACTTAGCCTGCGTGGCGGGCACCAGTTAGTTTTTATAGAGGGCGTGTCCTAGAAATTTCTCCCTTCGCTCTATTAAAACCGGCGGCAGACTATTGAAACTTTGTTACATACAGTAACGGGGTTTTTCTGTGACTCCAAAACCAAAATAGAACGGAAGCAGCCACAACGCAACAATTGCATGCGTATGAAAGGCATAGTATCACGAGAATTCTACCAATTGTTTGCCTTAACTAAGCAAAAATTATAATGGTTCACTCGCTGGCGCACAAAATGACCTTTCAACAACACTGAACAGAAAGACGACTGACTTCACTTTCCACTGTATGAGCCGCTGAACACAATCAATGGTTTTTGGTCGATTGTTCCCAAATAACACTGTCAAACTTTCCCATCTTTCCGAAACAAAGATATTTTTTAGAAGTTTTCATGATCCTGTATGACGTAGCTCTCAGGGGATTTTAAGTAAATATAGAAAAACTTTCGCCCGATTTTCGAGGGGCGTTATCCTTGGTGATACTGTCGCTTTAAAACGTTTTATGAAAAAAAAATTTTCAGTAAAGGCCGGCTACTATGAGGACGACCCCCAGCTAATTTTATTTGGGAAACAACTATTCAATTCCCCGCCTACTAATTGCACATAACCAGCAACTTGATGTTTACAGGTAGCCATTTACGACATCTGGAGAAGGATCATGATGTTATCCCTATTATTAAGATCTCTCCTTACAGATAACCAACCCAGCCCAGAAAAGATGGGCCACACTACCGGGGTCAACGACCCTACTCTTTTCGAAAAGTGGTGTGGGTTCTTTTACGTCCCACAAAACCAGATAAGTGAAAATGATGTGAGAGGGGACCTAGGGTTTTTCGTCCTTTAGCGAGAAGACTAGAAAGTCTACCCGTTTGCAGATGTCATAACAAAGGCAGCCCTTTCTTCTCAGTTATTTAAAGACCCTGGTTGTTGGTCCAGGCGCGGCGCTCTCCCAACCGAGCCAACCAGGCGGCGCATGATTACGGACGGCGGAGTCAAAAGCGTGAGCTCTGGGGTCGAGAATCAAACACCAGCAAAACGAGAACGTCCATAACCACAGGCAATCCAACCTCAAGTAACATCAATACTTGCGATACCTGTGGCTTAACTACCTACCTTCGTATTGTGAGCTCATCTGCTGAATCAGCATCTTGTGCTCCTACATTTTGTGAGTCATAGGTGTCATCATACTCATCATCGTACAAGCTCGCAGTCCAAACATGTCGATTAAACACATCATAAGCAGCGTATCTCTCCTTAACGGATTCTGTTATATCACTCTTGTCGGATAACAGCTTCTTAATGCTACCTACATCACGACGTTTGCCCTTATGGATCTTCGAAAGATTCAACTTATTCCCCGCAAAAACATCAAAGTCATCTTTGTCATAGACCGAATGCCTTTGCTCCAGTACAGTCTTCACCGGCTGCTTTTTATTTTTCATTGCCTCATCTTTTGACAAGTTTCGGTCCAAGTTTTGAAGGCAAGGTGGCAAATTGTCTTCGAGGATTAAGTTGATAACTTGTTCTACCTCGTAGTTAAGCTCCTCCAAACAGAGAATGATGAAACCGTCACCAAGCCCCGGTAGTAGATCCTGTACATGACTCACCAAAGAAAATAACTCCGCCTCGTTAACAGTCTTGGAAACTGCTCCATCGCTCTGTAAATTAAGAATATAGTTTTTCTATGTCTTTCGCCAAGAATTGTGTGAATACAAACTAAGACTAACGTCAAACCCGTGACTGTGGCTACGATCTTATGATGGGTATTCACGTACAGTGGACAGATGGATGACACGGAAAACGAAAATACCACATATTTCTATCTCTTGGACTTCGTACTTACCCTCTTTTTAAAAAAGAGGCGAATAGCAAGTGGGAAATGACCCATTGTTTTAATGTCAAATAAAAAACAGTACAGAACTTAAAAACAGTATTTTCTGGTGTGATTAATTTTACCAAACATAACATTGGGAATTCAAACTTAGTCAGGAAGGTATCAGGGGCACCCAAAGAGAATATAGTTCAAAACCACTTAAACACAGCATTGTTAAACGCATTTTAGTATTTAAACGGTAGATATAGGCATATTTTTATTCCCTAAAAATTTTTCATCTGTTCGGATTTACTAGCTGAAAGTCTAGTGATCCGAAAATTATAGGGATCAAAACTTACCTTTTCGAAAATTTCAGCCAGAAAAAAGGCTCCCGAAAATTTTAGGTGACCTTTTCAGGGTAAAAATCCGTTAAAAATGGGCAATTATACCATTTTTTAGATGTTCGCAAATCCTAGGAGAGGCAGGAAAACAAGAAATTTTACAACAAATGTTCCAAAAATTCTAGATCTCAAATCGTCTTCCCAACAGATCTTTTCCGAAAATTGTCGTTGGGTGCCCCTGAGGTATCAATTTCAGTCTGATTTCGCCCAAAACGGACATCCTTGTTTTATCACTCACTCTTTCATCCATGACTTCTTTAACTTCTCTTACATCTTCTTCTATCCAGCTCTCAAACTGGCCATTAACAGCAACAACGTTGTTTTCAGTACCAAAGGCCGCAGTTGATGAGTGAGGTTTTGTGGAATTTTCTTTTCTTTTTACATGGTTTGGAAATGCTCTTCTCGCACTTTCAACAGCAGCCATTATATATTCCACTCTAGTCTCGTCCGTGCTCACTGAACACCGCTGAATTCTGTTTAAATCTTCTTTAATACCAAATCTGGAGTCATAACTGCTTAGAAATCTGAACAAAAGGCAGAGACACAAAATGACTAATCAATTAAATCTATTGACATATATGAAAACACTGCAAGTTTCCGCTAGATTAGTTCTCCTTTCTTTCTGGAAATCCAGAGATGTTGAAAGCCCCATAACTGTTGACATCTTTTAGGATATCTAATGCCGTACAGTTTTGCCCTTTTCAGGCTTTTGATGGCAAAGAAACTAATTATCAATCTCGATGATTGGCATAACGCAATATTTTTTTAAAATTCCAATAAATATTGAACTTGCTACATGGTCGTACGTATCTTTAAAGGGATATCCTGGATCCACTAGATGTTTTTCGTAGTCCCACAAACGCGACAAAAATAAGCGTAAAATAACAGCCATAGTAGCTCTCCCTAAGTCTCCCACCTACAATATTAACCAAAGACAGGAAATACAACACCCCCACTTATCATTATTTACCTTTTCTCAGAAAGAATTGATGTAAGAACTTGCAAAAAATTCTCTACACAACTTTGAACTTGGTCTTCGCTGCTGCCGTTTTGTTCATGAAAAAAGTAAAACGTTGTCGTCAGTATTTTGAGCTAGAATAGATAAGAGACGTCTATAATAACATGGCTCAACTCTTTCCATTTGAAACTGAATTTTCTTTGTCTCAGAATACAGCCAGTTAGTTACCCACATGAGCTTGGTTCTAGACAAAACAAAAACTAAAATCTCAAGATCATGGGTACCCCACAAGGTACAGTGCAGTAATCCACTGTTCAATTAACTGCTAAAGGTTGCATGGCTGCGGCTACTAGACCTAATAAGAGTCAGTCGCTTAATAAAAGTGCAAATTACAGTACCCTACGTGTAGAAGGATCCCCTCCCTTCCGTTTTCTACGTGAGGGAGGGGGGGTTGGGGAGGGTAGATTACATGTACACAAAGGCTAAAATTGCAGTGATTGAAAAGAGGGAAAAATGCCGTTATACTCCACTCATTATGAGGCTAACAGGACTCGGTTAAGATGTCTTGCAGATTTTACGGTCAAAATTTGATCATTATCAGCAAACCATCAAACAAGCCATTTATATTTAAAATGTTCTGGTGGACATACCCTCTTTCCAGTGGTTCGATGCAGCAAGTGTGAAGAATTACATGGCAAACCTTAATGAGAGCCAACTTAACATGCTTCCACTTTTCCTTTAAATTCTCTGATTTAATGTCAATTAAAGAATTTCTAAAATGTGGAACAAGCAATTCATAGAAGCCAGCCACTCTTTGAACAAATTCATGCCTGACAAATGAGTCACAGACCACGGGATATGTACTCAGGAAGGCCATCAGTGTTTCTGTTGTATCATTTAAATAAAGCACAATATCCTCTAGTTGTCGAACGGACAATGATGCATTTGGTCCATTCCTCACATCACTAAGTTTCTGAGGCTGGTCAGTTTCTGCATCCAGTTTGTATTTAATTCCACACTTCGACAATATATCATCTAATGTTTCATAAATTGTTGGGATTGTTGCATCAAGGTCACTGTGATACCTAGCAAAAGAAAAGTAAAAATGTAAAATGTTGAATGAGAGTATGTAATCCTAATACAAAAATTGTCCTCATTTGTACGCACATTTTCTTCCGTTCACTTGTTTAAGCATAACTCAAATTATCAAGGAATTACGCGTAAGTCGTAATAAAAAGAACAATATTTTTTCATCTCTCAAGCATGATATTATGTTTGTGCCAGATTGGTATGGGATTTTTAACAGCTCATTTTGGGATGGCTAATTGAAATCATCATCCTCATCATCCTTTGACCACTGGAGTGGACGGGATATTCATGGAGAACTCCTCCCAAATACCACGATTTAACATAGCTTTACTCAGGTCCCTCATATCGCATTGAAATAAAAGATGACACAAAAGCCTTTACAATCAACATTAAATAAAGTAATCATGTTTGTTTTCTTATCATTATTACAGTTTTGCCGACTGTTAGTCAGTATGATCACTGATTGCCAGTGGGATCGGTTTTAAGGAGTTAAATCCAATCATGTATTACGACTGTGCCATCACTGTATTAACAGCAGAGACCAGGGGCCGAGAAAACTTGATCATACCTTTCTACAATCTGCTGTTAATGACATGCAACCCTTATGAGAGTAGGGGTAGATGCCCAACAGCATCCAAGGTAGAGATCAACAGTGGTGGCATCCAGACCTTCAGATAACGGGAAGCCTGGTCATCCAGACCCTGAGAAAAAAAACGGGAGGGGGGGGGGATCTCAGAAAAAATGTTTTCAACCCTTTGGGCCTCAGTTTGGTCTAAAAATAAGGGGGTGGGGGGGGGGCAGGTCCCCTGGAACCCTCCCATGGATCTGCCACTGATCAAGGTGGTTGAAAGTTGGTAAAACTAAACAAGACAATCTCTAGCGACATACATAATGTATCAGTGAAGAAACAAACATCAAATTCATAAAGTCTTTCTAATGAACTTCTTCATTGAGGAAAGGCTTCTTACTTTGGTTGTTTGGAGAAGATATTGTCCAGCATTTTCCGTAAAAGTGGTGTGTTCGCACTATTCTCACCCCCATAAAGGGTACATATATCCATTATCTTTGGAATATCAAAAAGAAAGTTCTCATAAAGAATGTCACCAAATGTGTTTGCTGTAATGAAGTCCTCCTGCAAGGTAAATGAGGTGTAAGAGACATTTTACAATAACTGAGTGATTTCTTGTGTGGATTGGTTGAGAGGTATGGTCGATAGGAGTTCAGACCTAGGGGTGTAACGATTCATATTCCTTGCGATTCAATTCGATTTCGATTATTGCCTTTCAATTTTAATTATTTTGATTTGATTATGTAAATGTTTCTTAATTCTTATAACACAACAAGTAATGTAAACAACATGCAACCCTAAACTCTCAATTTGAGAATAGAAACAGGGACAGGAGGATCGACAGTTGCTTGTTCATTTATTGCCATGTTTGAGAACCTGACAAAGAGTGTGTCACACATGGTTTGCCTTGTTTGGAAATTCTCAAGGGGTGGTTGAAAGACAGCATTTTTACCAGGCAACACAAAATGGCACACGAACTGCTGGTCAATCAAAAACGCACATTTTAAAGAGTTCCAGATTCTGATTTTACAATAATTATAATAACTTGTTGAGGGCACCGTGGAAAAGGCGTGCAAAAATCAAACCAAAATCGAAACATGGAACCAAAGGATCGTGAATCGAACCGAACGGCCATAATTTTTTATCGTGATTAATCGAGAATTCGATTAATTGTTACACCACTATTCAGACCATAGAACTGACATGATGGTGTTGAAAATGGATGTCAAAAACTGTCAAGAAGTTATTGTAAAAAAACGGTCACCCAACTAGTTTAGTTTTTTAGTTATTTCATGTGTCCCACTACTGTATGTACAGTCTATTTGTTTATTTATAAATATTATATTCTTGTAAATTCTTTTAGTTGTCTACAGTAGTAGAGATAAACTGTTGTTGTTGTTGTTGTTGTTGTTAATTTTCCATGGTCTGTACTCCACCATAGACATGATGTTAGAATGTTCAAAACTTTGCAGTGAAACCGCTTTAGTTTCGAACATCTAGATGTCACTTCAGTCTATGCTCAATGACAATAAGAGTACAGACCATGGGAAATTGACATTGATTTGAAACATTACTACCATCATTCCTTAACCATGTTGAATTGCAGGAGAAAAGTCGGGTAGAGTATTCAAATTCAAACTACTATATCCCCAACAAATTAAAAAGTCAAAATTAATACAACTCGTGCAGTATCACAAGGAGGTATGCAGTACTGTTACAACACTTTGGGTAGGTTATTTAAACAAAGTCAAACTTAGGCTGCGGTTTTCCAGTCTACGCTATATGCCTTATTAAAATGTTCACAAAAAATGGTTCTTAGATAAAAGCATTGGTCAAAGAAAAAAATAGCTTAGAATGTGGTTTTGTTAAACATGGACTAAACTCCGTGTAAATAACTGGCACTTTGGGTTGTATGTTGTATGTAAACAAACAGGGAAGAAGAAATTATTGTCTTTTGATTCAAGGGCTAAGTCTCCTGCCAGAACTTTTTTATTATGAGGGGATTATGATAAAAATATCCTTACCTTGGACTCTTTATGTGTTGACATCCTAACATATGTCATGAAAACTCTTTTGTGTACATTCTCATGAAGAGAAGCTAATTCTGGTGAAAGAACTGATGCATCAAAGTTCCTAACGAGGAGAAGAACTTGAACTTATAAAGCAAACTGTTTGATATGAAACCCATGCACATAAAACAATAATGGATTGGTTTTGCAAACTTTAGACAAGTACACAAGACCTAATTTCAAACTTTCTAGTTGATAAAACAATGTTTGGATCACCAAATAACAAATACATAAAGTTTCCATACCACAACTACAACAAAAACTGTTAAGTGAAAAAAGTCTTTTCAGTACCTTGGTGCAAATTGTAGATAAGAATCCAGAAACTGCTGCAATGTTTCATCAAATATTACCTTCAAGACAATGTAGAAATGTGCAATATATCATGCAGGTTNATCATTCCTTAACCATGTTGAATTGCAGGAGAAAAGTCGGGTAGAGTATTCAAATTCAAACTACTATATCCCCAACAAATTAAAAAGTCAAAATTAATACAACTCGTGCAGTATCACAAGGAGGTATGCAGTACTGTTACAACACTTTGGGTAGGTTATTTAAACAAAGTCAAACTTAGGCTGCGGTTTTCCAGTCTACGCTATATGCCTTATTAAAATGTTCACAAAAAATGGTTCTTAGATAAAAGCATTGGTCAAAGAAAAAAATAGCTTAGAATGTGGTTTTGTTAAACATGGACTAAACTCCGTGTAAATAACTGGCACTTTGGGTTGTATGTTGTATGTAAACAAACAGGGAAGAAGAAATTATTGTCTTTTGATTCAAGGGCTAAGTCTCCTGCCAGAACTTTTTTATTATGAGGGGATTATGATAAAAATATCCTTACCTTGGACTCTTTATGTGTTGACATCCTAACATATGTCATGAAAACTCTTTTGTGTACATTCTCATGAAGAGAAGCTAATTCTGGTGAAAGAACTGATGCATCAAAGTTCCTAACGAGGAGAAGAACTTGAACTTATAAAGCAAACTGTTTGATATGAAACCCATGCACATAAAACAATAATGGATTGGTTTTGCAAACTTTAGACAAGTACACAAGACCTAATTTCAAACTTTCTAGTTGATAAAACAATGTTTGGATCACCAAATAACAAATACATAAAGTTTCCATACCACAACTACAACAAAAACTGTTAAGTGAAAAAAGTCTTTTCAGTACCTTGGTGCAAATTGTAGATAAGAATCCAGAAACTGCTGCAATGTTTCATCAAATATTACCTTCAAGACAATGTAGAAATGTGCAATATATCATGCAGGTTTCCTATACACTTCACATAATAAAAAATTGGCAAAAACAAAATAATATAGAGGAGGAGGATAAAAATGCAATAAAGATTTAGCCTGGCCTAAAAGCCAAGCCTCCAATTTTTATACTTTAAAATAATAAAAGCAAATAAGATCATTATAATAAACTCTACACTAAAAAGAAATCTTCAAATCCCTACTAGGTTACAACTTCTAGGGTCAATATTATTATTTCTGACAAAAGTAAAGACCTAAAAGAAGCTGACTTTTGTGATTGCCATGTAATGAGCTTACAATGCTTATCACGTTATCTTATCAAGCAGCATGGGTGGAATTGTGTGGCATGAGTTTATTTGAATCCGGGGGACAACACCACATGTGGGTTATGCTTGTGGGTTATGCTTGTAAGTTGCTAGTCTTTCCCTTTCTCTGAGAGGCTTTTATCTGGTTATTTGCTCTCCCTCAATACCAAGATTTAGATCGGGTATTAGATGGTAAAATAGATGAAATAGCTGAGGTTCTAACTAACTGAATGGAAGAAATGCAAGAATACGCAAAACACAGACGATCGCTCAAAGGATGTTATCTACTTTTTGAGGATTATCTGCATGGAAAAACATCTGTTTTTATCCTGAAACCAAGCAGAGAAATAGGACAAAGTTTTAAGAAAGTCTACGAGAACTTAGGTAAGCTTGTTAAGAACTTAGAAACCTTTTAAATTACATGTGTAATAATAAGACAATTATTGAAATCAGCTTTTGTATGATGTGAAGAATTCTGCAGACCTCAGAGAATGTTATCCACCTTGGCCGAACATCCTCCTTGATCTGCATAATTCTTCACGTCCTACTCAGCCTGATTCAATAACTGCTAAATATTTTACCTGGCACCAGAATCTGGAATGTGGAAGGCTCAACAGCCATTTCAAGTCGTCATCAATAAGTGCAATCCTTTCACGCCACTCTTCAACGGTACCATGATCCAGGACAGACTCAGACACTGGGGGAGGGGTGTAGGGTACAAATTGTACATCCTCAGCCCACACAAGATCCTAAACATTTAAAAGGAAAAAAGAGAATGAATCAATCAGTAATGCTTGAATTTATGACTAAAATGGTAACAGTTTCATCTGGTAAGATAGAAATAGCAGATGATATAAGTGCATAGTTACAGGCAGCCAGTATAATAAATATTATGTAATGAGCATTCAAGACTGTGCAGAAGTGATGACCAAGATAAAGCTCTTTAAAGAAAAATAATGGCAAGTTTATATTTCTCTGAACAGCACCCCCCGATTGAAGAAGGACCATTTAAGTGTTGCAAAGATTTTTGGGCTAAACAGTAATGAGTACTTTACACAACCTAATAAACCTGCCTTAATAACATTAATAATAATACTAACCAGCTCTGGAATTTCTTCAAGAACATTTGTCACAGGATTTTTTGTCGTCTTAACACGCAAGTCCAGAGCAACAACACCTTCATTATCTTTGTCCTTCTACAAAGTAAATCAACTTTCAGTTTAGATCATACATTATTTACTTACCTAAGCCTATTACTTTTCTCAACTATGCCACAAGTTGATAATTTTGATCAATAAAATCAATTTTTAATTAACAGAATCAAATAACAGGTTTAGGTGATTATTGCTGCTGATTGTCTTAGATGTTTTTCATAAAATTACTTACCAGTAGTTTGTTTTTAGATTATAAAGTTCTACCAATTTAGATAAAAAATTTCAATTATGCCATGTTTACACACATTATTATTTTTATCTCTAGTAAATAATAAATTGATATTCCCAGCCCAAACCTTGACAGTATTGATAATTGACTATTTTGACCAATGAGGTGCCAATTATCAAGTGCATTGTATTACCGAGTAACATTAAGAAGTTGTTTATGTTCTTAGTGATTGATTTCCTATGCTTTAATTTGTTACAACAACTTTTCATGTTTTCTAAGAAAGCAATAACAGATAGGAAGCTTTGATAGTTGTATAAGCGCAAAGTTGAGATGCTATTATTTTTTAGCACCAGGAAGAAATATTGAAATTCCATTTTTCGCCATCAGTTAGGCCAAAATGTTTTAGTCAAAGACAGACCAGGGGAAAAAATCTTGACAGCATTTCTTTTTAAAGTTAAAGACTTTGTTTTGGATGGTAACGGTGCAACGTAGCAAATATAAATAAAAAAGCAACTAGATTCTACAGCTTGAGTATAAGCCTTACCCGTTATAAGCGTAAAGTGAAATTCTAAAAAAAATTAAGCTTAAATGTTTCAATTTCTTGGCGAGGGAGATTTTAAAAGTTTATTAATCGATCAACCAAAATACATGTTTTATTAAAAGACGTTTTTGTTTTGTGTTTCAAAACATAAAACGATATTAAACTTTTGGATGACAATGAAATAGATGAAACCGCTCATTCAGTTTAACACATGCACAGGTTCAGCGCTGAACAGGATTCATTCGATTCAACGTGTCGAAGACTTCATGCCGGCGCTTCATGCTACAACGTTAAAAAACCACCTAAATGAACACTACAGTTATTTATCAAAGCTTCAAGGCCTTAACGCTTACCTTTTTCTTGGACATTTTCCCGTCAAGAAAAAACTAAAAATATCAATAACTTTTTGCCCGGTTGAAACAAGTTCCGTCCGCCATGCTAGAATCCACAATTTGTGTTGTCAGCAGTTACTGCATGGGGTTAAACGAATTGGCGTGCACAGCAATGCACGGACCCCCCTCTTGAAATTCCGGTCTCACATGTGTTTCTTTCTCTTCCATCTTGTCGTGATTCGAGATCATGGTAAGTTGGAGTGTGTCTTCAATGTACGTTTCTTTTTACAGTTTTTGGGGGCAATAAATGACAGTAAATTGATGGTCATTTATTACCAAAGGATTCCTAAACCAACTACACCGTTCAGAAACGTATTTCAAAGCAAATACTCTAGTTTTACGAGAAATTAGAACGAGAAGTTTAGCTTTGAGGTATTAAACTTGACTGTTTTGGTTCAAGTTATTTTCTCATCAAATATATTTGTTACTTGAACTCTACTCATCAAAGCCTTCAGGTTCAGTTTAAGAAACTCAAGGAGACGTAATTCCACTTTATCGTAACCACCAGCGCTTAATACAGGCATCATCTGTAGACGTTAATATGTAGTCTTCTGATCATCTGATATCTTATGGGCTCAATTCTAAGAGATTTACTCTATAAATATTCAATCACAGACCACAGAATTATCCATACTCCAAGGAAGGAAATCCCCAAGTTGGTTCTGTGGAAATTATGCTCACTTTCAAAGCTTTCAATTGAATGATTGCCATTTTGGTTATTTGAAGTTTCTTGCTCTGACTGTTATCATTTTCTTAATAAAATAATAATTATGACTTAAAACACATGTTGTGCGACAGTGATGCGTAAGTGAGGATTTGGTATAAATGTGGTACTACCCAATACATTTATTATGCATTTATGTATTCACTCCATTCATTGCGGGGGACAGAGGAGCCTGCAATCCTAATCTCCAGGGCCCGGTTGTTCAAACATGGGATAGCACTATCCACCGGGTAAATCATTATCCAGCAGATAAGTATTAGGGAAATCAATTGCGCTACCCAGTGGATAGTGATTTATCCAGTGGATAGTGATTTATCCAGTGGATAGCGCTATCCATCTTTCGAGCAACTCGGCCCTGCAGGTTGCTATTACACATGCTTGATATGTATGTAGCCAGTATTTGTTTCAACTTCTACTAAGAATGAACGCAATGCATGGAATGCAATCTGATCACATGCATTACTACCTTCTATCATTTTTATTCTAATCATGCGTGTTTTGGCCTTCTGTCATGTAAAACTTGCAGAAAGCACTGGCATTGGAGTGAGAGCATTTTGACCTTCAATCAGAATTCTGAAACTCGGCACTTCACTCCATGGGAGTAGCCTTTGGTTATTACTAGAGCAGTCATTTGCCGATAACTCGAACCGTCGAGGTAATTGAAGAAAAGTTTGAGTTATTGGAAGTTCGAGTTATTGGAAGTTCAAAGCAAATAAGCAGAAATAGGGAAATAGGTGTGGGGAATGAATGCAAGTAACATTCACACTTCAAGTTCAGTAAATACACTGTGCTGGACACTAGTTAAAGGCTACATGGTGTCTAAAATGATTTTAATGTTTCGGAGTACAGTACACTTTATTTGGACTTGTCAGGTGCTTTTAGCATGGTTAGAGGGTAAATTGGTATAGATATGATCTGAAGGGAAACAAAAATTACTTTGAGTTAGCAGGAGGTTTGAGTTATGGAGTATTCGAGTTAACAAGAGTAAAATTATAGTAAATGTATGAAGGAAATCCAGGGGAAATAGATTTTGGTTCGAGTTAGTGCAAGGTTTGAGTTAGCAAAGGTTTGAGTTATTGGATTCTACCATATTAACCATTTATATAAAATAGTATGATAACAAATTGTGTGGCCGTTCGGAAATCCTACCAAGTATTTATCCTGAGGCAATAAACTTAAGATGATGCTGATATTGATCTAGAACTTTGCATTGCTCAGTTCGGGTACTCTTAAGCGGCAGTATGCGGTGGGATTGGCCAAAATCAAGGATAATGTTCATGCTTAACTCTTAGCAAATAAAACTGGGTCTATTTATTGGCATCAATAATAATTTTTTTTTCCTTACAATCAACTCTTGCCTCGCGCACACCCCACTATAACAAACACCCCGATAATGTGGACAGCAGCTAAATCTCAGACAAAAATAAATTTCCAATGGTTAACGCAAATAAACAATCTCCTGTTATTAAGCACTCTCGCTAAGACAGACACTAACTCTAGGTCCCAACAGTGTTCGCTTTAAATGGAGTTGACTGTATTGGATTAAAACAAAGGCAAGGTAATAATTTCCTGTAGTGGTAGTAGTAGTAGTAGTAGTAGTAGTGGTCAACAGACATCATCATGGAACAGTTTAATGAGTTCCTTTGTGGGCACTAGAATTTGATTAACAATATTTTTTCTCTTACAACAGCCGCCCAAGAAGGATACAAAGCAGTCATCAAAACCAAAGGACAAGCCATCCAGCTCCGGCGGAAAGGCTAAGAAGAAGGTCAAGTTTGTTCCTTTGCGCTGTAATTTCCATCTTAATTCAGTGTTGTCCTACAGCACTACCTTGTGGTCCCAGTAATACACTTTTTTCATTTGCAACCTGGAAACCTTATTTTATTTTATTTTATTATGATTGTTTTTCTTAAAACATATCTCAAGTATCTTGGATATTATACCTTATTCTCACTTAATTTTGCGAGTACTAAATTTAGCGAGTTTTGTGATTTGGGAAAATTGCAAAATTAAATACTCAAAATCTAAAAATCCATATAAATCCCTAAAAATCGCAAAAATTAAATACTTGCGAAATGAAATGTGAAACAGGTAGGTTCAAAGCCTTGTGCTCAGTCAATTTTTTTTTTGAAGCACAGCCTTGTTGTCAAGTTTTAAAGATTGCCATTTATTATAGAGTGGTTTTCGTTTGAGTGTCGTAAAACCAAAACCAAAGTAATTACTCTGGCCAATCACATAGGACACAGACAATACATTGAACCAATCAAAACTCGAAGTAATTACATATGGCTGACGCAAAGCGCGGGAAAATGCATGCGAGCGCGCCACAATTGGCTTTGGTTTTACTTCTGATTGGATGAAAAGGTGGCGCGAATCTTTTAAGCCAATTGCATCGTGTAGAAAGTGCAAAACCAATTACTTTTCGACACTCAAATGAAAACCGCTCTATCTTGGCCTTTTTTAGTGTGACTTTTATTCATTGGTCTGTTGGGGCTTTAAAACAAGCTTTTGTGAATTATTATTTTCCCAGAATAATTAACTCTTATGTAATCTAATTTTCTTGTAAAGAGGGTCAAATTTTCGATAAAAATTAATCCCAAGGTTGTTTAAGCCTCTTGTACAACTGAGTTGTCGTTTCTTTATTTTCTTCAACTCAACAGAAGTGGTCCAAGGGAAAAGTCAGGGACAAGCTTAACAACTTGGTTCTCTTTGATAAAGCCACCTATGACAAGCTGTACAAGGAGGTTCCCAGCTATCGACTTATCACTCCTTCTGTAGTCTCTGAAAGGCTAAAGATCCGAGGCTCCCTGGCCCGTCGTGGACTAGAGGAACTACTCTCCAAGGGACTCATCAGAGAAGTTTCCAGACACCACTCCCAGTTAATTTACACCCGTGCAACAAAGGGCAGCGAGGGACAGGAAGCTCCTCAGTGATATGTGAATAATGTTGAGAAAATAAACAATATTTCATATTGAATAATTTGTCTGATATGTTTGTAAATAATATTATTCTGCATGTACTGGTTGCCTGTGCCACAGACGAAACTTAAATCTGGTGAAGTCTGTCTGTGAAACAGCACTGAAATCCTTGGCCATGATTGGCCAGTTGAAAAAGCCATAACTGATTTGCCAATGAGGATGAAAGGAAATGCGAAACGCGCTTCCGTTAATTCATTGAGTCCTTTTGGGGGGTCAGAACAAGGATTTCAACACTGCTTAGCAGATGTCACTGAGGTTAAATTACATCTGCAATGCAGGCTACTATACAGATGATTGGGTGATATGTCTGTGTGACCAGACAAGGTCATACACAGCACAAAAATTTGGTTTATCTACTGAATCGGTTTAGTCAATTTACCATGGTAGAAAGATTGAAAAAAATCATCAGCTTTTCAATGTTTTTGACTAAATCAACTAAGACCCAATTTTTTGTTACTCCCCCACTGATGCAGCACTACAGTTTCTTTAGAAACTAACCCCTTTCTTCATCTAGGTCATAGACAGGCACATTCCAGGGTCAGGAGCCTGTCAATCAAAATCGCTGCTAACTTTTCAGGTCCGGAAAGTTGTGTTATGTTTGCCGTGTTTACATTCAAGATCAAAGTTTTAATGGTTTTGAAAATGACACAATGAAACTATCAGTTAACAAAACAAATTTGACTGGTCTGTGAGCTAAAATCCGTGATACTATTCAACAGGATTTGATTTTAAAATTTGCCTTCAGGCCTGTAAAGTTGTCAGCACTTTCGAGAAACTGGCCTGATGCTGTCTTTCTTTCCCCTAGAGGATCTCTCTCTTTCTCCCAGGGCTGGGAATTGGAGAGACCCTGAAAACCTGGTCAAGTCATAGCAAGACCAGGAAGTCATGAAAAAAATAACAGACCTTGGCAATTCATATTTTCCCAGGACATCTGGATATCGATTTACGGTTGGAAAGTCTCTACAATGGCCACCTTAGGGAGAGAAGAAAGTGGCTGTTGTAGAGAGGTTTTAAGCAAGAGTCAATGTATGGATTTTTTTCCGCTGGAACAGAAAAGGTGGCTGTTGTAGAGAGGTGGTCATTAGCGGAGTTACAACTTTAGCAAGATCAAGAAGGGTCAAACCCTTAAGAGATAAAGCTCGATAAACATAAGAAGTCCAGTGGCAATTTTTTCTTTGTACAAGCACCGGGTACTTGCCAAGACACTTAACATTGAATTATTTTTAGTAGTTTCGATAATTTGGTCTACAATAACATTGAAATTAGAATTCAGACCTCTGAGATGTTTGATGTGTTGTCTGGAATAGGATCAGATAGAAATAGACTGCGAGCAGTCTCTCTTTTGCTTGAAAATTAATATAAGCGTGCGCTACAATGCAGTTTTGTGAGCTGCAAACTGTACAAGCACCCTCATCACTCGCGACTCGTGGCCTCGCCGCAAGTACACTTGCATTATTGCGCGCACTTTCACTGGTTGTCGAGCAAAAGAGAGACTGCTTACAGTCTAGATGGAAATGGTTACAGTGAAGGGTCTCAAAAGTACCACCACCCTCATTAAATAATTGCCCCCATCCTCCTCCCCCACATGGAAACAAACTTGAGAATGCAGAAAACCCACACACTCCACTCTAAGACAGAGTAGATATAACTTTTATTGTTTTCGGTGAGGTTTGTATTTGAAAAATTTTAAAAATAGTGACAAGATTATCATTACCACTTCACAAGAAAGACATCTCACTTCACTGAGAAATAATAATTATTATATTGGTATTTCAATTCAAACTACAAGAATATTTACCAATAGCACTGGTTGCTTTTACAACTATCTCGAGTACAGTTGTAAAATTTGACATTCTTTCTACAAAAGACGGTTTTGTCATACTTAGTTACAGGCCAAGAAAGCAAAAATTTTAAACTCTACAATGAACAAGTTCGAACCAAATTGATCAATCACGCAGGTACCTAGTGCAAGAAAACAGGTGCGTCATTTTTGGTTCAACTTCTGGTTGCCTGGGGTAGTAATATGACGCTACTTTTCTAATTTACCAAAAAGCAAATTCAAATCAACAGTGGAATTCCGCCTGCGCGTCTTCCGCCGCATTGAATGCTATATTTCCGCACTTGACAGAGACGGTACATTTTATTTCGCAGAGTATCGATTGCTTCAGGTGGGTTGCTTATTTTATATCACAAGATGCAGGTCATCAGCTCTGAGCAGCACGCGTTTCCGCACGAGTTCCTTGAGAAGGTTGGAAATGCTTACTAAGCAGGCTAAGGTCGTCTGTTTAAATTTAACCGCCTTTGGCACCGGTTGCGCGGGTTTCAACGCCATCGGTAAAGGTTAAACACTTCTCAAACTTGGTACCGTTGCGCGTTTCCTGACAGCGTTTTGGTACGGCGTATAATGCGATCACCGAACGACTCAATATAACAAACTGAAAAGACCTTAGCAATATAACACCACAATGCAAAGCTCCCACAATAGTTTTTACAACGCCAAGATACAACCGTTCCCTGCGCCGGACTTGGGTCCACAGCCCGACTGACTAGTGATCTAATTGGCTGTATCTCGTGACCGAGCACCTGCAAATGGCCTATTGGTCAGCTACGCGCTCAGTTTGGTTTTGTAAGGTCCCTCCAAAAGTTTTTGGCTAGTTCTCTGAAAATTGCAAAGTGGGATGAAGCAAAATCAGCGCGACAAATATTTTTGAAAGAGTATTCTTTGAACCTTTGGTCGTACCGAGTTTTTACTTTATCCCTCTATCCCAAGCTGGAAAATCCGAGGATCGTTACAAGATAACCTAACAACCTCATTTTGATCGAAAAACATTAGTATTTTCAGGTTTTACGGGATTCGTCAACAAATTCAACCTATTAAAAGCAACCTAAAACAGGTTTAACACAAGGCCGGGGGTAAATTGTAATTATAACCACCATCAACTGATTTAGGACGACAGACCACTCCGAGTAGATTTTAACACGTTCTTGGAATATCATGACATCCGCATTTGATAATAACTGTAGAATTTTCAGTTCGAATGAAACTGAATAAACGAGGAAGCTATTTCACAATACAGACGGTACAAACTAGTTTATAAAAAAATTTTTAAAATTTTAGTATCATTTTCAGAATTGTTTAAACATTTTTACAGACGCGCTCAACAAAGTCTACAAAAAAGATACGCAGAAAAACTGTAAGTATTGTGCTGTTGCAAAAGAAAAAAAAGAATTTCTTTCGAATTTATTTTATAAGCAAAAACTTGTCAAAATTTATTTCTTTGCAAGGCGTAAAGCAAGCCTCGGACTAGCCAGGCTAGCCTCGGACCTTCCACGGAACTCGTGGATCCATGCAGAAACAACATACAATAATAAATTTGTGTCAGAATTAGCCGTAAAAAGTCCTACCTAGGACTCTTAACGGGATATCTACAAACCCTAAAACCTCAATTTTGTTCCTTTTCTACAAACATAACCACTTTTTACACGTAAGGTAACAATCACTAGTACTCTTATTCAGACAATTAAAGGAAGCTGGTGATGACGAGCTCCTTTTCATTAATTTTAAATAAAACTGACTCTTAGATATTGGAAGTTACGGCTATGTTGCCACATAGCTTTGATCGGTACAATTTCTGATTTACAGCAACCGCGTCCGTTTTCTGCTGCTATACTCCTCCATCTACATGTTCCAATAATGATTCTACAGTCTGGCAAACTCTAAGCGGACTTTTCTCCTCCAGAATGTCGGATGGTGTACAGAGCTTATCCTAACAAAGAAAACAAAGACAGGATCACCTTATGTAAGAAATTTTAAATAGCTTCGGTGACGGAACATCTTGGGAAATTTCCTACAACATTCGGAAATCTCTGGGAGTCGCTGGGACGTTCTCGGAAATCCCGTTCATGACAAAACGAAAATCTCACGCATTTGATTCAAATAAGGGTTAGAAGAAAATACTTCTCACATTGGCTGAATACGTGCATTGGAGCGAGGGGAACTAAAACTTTATCGGAATAGTTTTTACCCGGTGGATTTATTGATAAGTTTTTAAAATGAAATGAAAACGAGGTCCCAAAAGTCGCACGAATCTACTGCAAATTGAAGAAGGGATGATGTTGGCTATACTAAACGAGCTGCTTATGCCATTAAACCGTAGCGACAGTTCCATTCAGAACAAGACTAACTTGTAAACAAATAAGTAGTCTAGTGTTCCAACACATCTTAGCCCGCAAAACGTGCACTTTCTTGGGGCGCGCAGATTCTTAAGTTAGCTCCTCCAAAAACCACAAGGAGTAATGGAGACAAAGTAGAGAGAAAGAAGCATTTTCGGATTAATTTAGGTTTCTGGGAAACTGCATACCTATCCCTTCCCTAAGTCAACATTAACACTTACTTCTCACTTAAGGCAAAATGTTGGGTTAGGGGAGGGGTAGGTAGATTGATCCGTATTTTCTTCCTCCACCCCTCTCCCCTCAATTCGCTCTGTCATCCTAATAAGGTCTTCCACGTGGATTGCTATTTTCAACTCCCCTAAATTTCCTTACGTTTTCAGTCAAGGATGTCGACAACACTGAGCGCTGACCTGCATTACAGGCTAACTGAACCCGTTGTATCTTTAAAACTTGCTTTCTATACACTGTCAAAAGACAGTTTTGTTTACCTTGGTAACTCCAAGCTTTCTGCAAGCTTCAAGAAAATAATCCACATTTTTCTGACATTTAGGCATTGTTAGTTTAGGCTGCAAAGCAACAAGAAATAAGATGACCATTCATGTGTATTTAAAATACACAGCGCCTCAATCAGCACTCAGCCTTTCTGCAAATTAACACTTGAAAACATTTCTGAGTTGTTCCCAGACTCTGTTTCAAACGAGGGAAAGTACGAAGCTTTGGATATCAAAAGGATATTCTGTTCTTATGCAAAAAAATAAAAGGTTTAACACATGACTACTTTCATTTAGAAAGATGGCGGTTTTTGGAATTCGGAGAAAGTCTTTTGTCGCAAGAGCATTCACTAATATGAGTTACCATTGCACTCACCACGCCTGCTGAGGGAATGTGAATGCTAGGTATCATTCCTTTCCTGATGTTATTAATAAGATGACAAAGTACTACACCATCAGCAAGTGACGCCAGTAAATCATCTGGTAAG